TAAACAAGCTTTATCTCAAGCCCCAACTCTCAAGATTTATGACTCAAAGTTGGAGACAATGGTAAGTGCAGACGCTAGTTCTTACGGAATAGGTGGCGCTGTATTTCAAAAACACAATAATGATTGGTGTCCTGTTGCATATGTGTCGCGAACATTAAATGATGCGGAAAAACGTTACGCTCAGATCGAGAAAGAATGTTTGGCAGCCGTGTGGACGTGTGAAAGGTTAGATAGATATTTGATCGGTTTGGAATCTTTCAAATTATTATGTGATCACAAGCCATTGATTCCATTGTTCAATGATAAAGACATAGATAAAATTCCAATCAGATGTCAAAGATTGATGCTGAGATTCATGAGATTCAATGCTATTGCTGAGCACAAAAGTGGTAAAGATTTAGTAGTTGCTGACTTATTGTCACGTAAACCGCTCAAGTGTTCTCTTGAATGCGAAAAAGATGTGCAAGCAGTTGAATATCATGTTAGCTCAGTGATGTCTGGAATACCGGTAACATCAAATCGTATGGATCAGATACGTGAAAAATCAATTCAAGATAGTGAATTATCATTGGTTATTGACTATACATTGAATGGATGGCCAAAGTATTACAGTGAAATTCCTGATAATGTTAAAAGATACTATGAAGCACGTGTTAGTCTGTCTGTGCAAGATGGGTTATTACTCTATGGTGATAGAATTGTGATTCCAAGGTCATTGCATGATGATATATTGAGTAAAATTCATCAAGGCCATTTTGGCATAAATAAATGTCGTGAGCGTGCCAGAGCTAGTGTGTGGTGGCCAGGTATCAGTGAAAGAATAAAACAAATGGTAAATCATTGTGAACATTGCCAAGTGTATAAACCAACTAATGTAAAAGAACCTCTGATTTCAACACCATTACCCGATAGACCGTGGCAAAGAATTGGTGCTGACATGTGTCAATATGCAGCTAAGCAATTCCTGGTGATAGTTGATTATTTTTCAAGATTTATGGAAATTTTGAATATTCCAGGAAGTGTTACAGCTAGCAAGATCATAAACAAAATGAAAGCAATATTTGCTCGCTTTGGGGTATGTGAAACCTTAGTAACTGATGGTGGACCGCAGTTCACAAGTTTAGAGTTCAAAAACTTTGCCAGAGACTATGGGTTCAAACATGTATTTAGTAGTCCTCATTACCCTCAGGCTAATGGGATGTCTGAAAGATTTTTGAAGGCTGCTAAGCACATATTGAAAACAGAAGATCCTTTACTCTCTCTTATGGCACATCATGCAACTCCTTCTGCATCTACAGGTTTTACTCCAGCACAAGTGATGCTTGGGAGACAAATACAAACTCCATTGCCAACTATTTCAAGCAAATTAAATCCTGATCCTCTCAACTATGACAAGTTAAGATCAAATGATGAAAATGCAAAAATGAGATATTGTAAATACTATGATAAATCAGCTAGAGCTTTACCACAGTTGAAACCAGGTGATAATGTTAGAATCAAACTAGATCATCAATCTACCTGGAGTGAACCTGGTAAAGTTGTAAGCAAGGGTACTATTCCTAGATCCTATATTGTGGAACACGATGGTGCTATTTACAGACGTAACCGAAAGCATTTAGCTAAAACATTTCATAAAATACCAGATCCAGTGGTTACATCTGAACCTAGTCAATACAATACTGATATGAATACAGGAGAAAATTCAAGGAATTTTTCTGATACTTCAGAATCTATAAATGCAAGTCATTCTGATATTAAGCCTACTGGTTCTCAGGTATCTCAGAAAATACATTCTCCTATTTCAAAAGTTAATACTCCAAGTAGAGTTATTCAAACCAGATTGAGAAGTGGTGTTTCAGTTATGAAGCCAGTAAGATACAGAGACAATTAAAACTGGTTATTTACTTATTAAACATGTTTAGAGACATTTTTATAATTGATATTTTAGTGAATATCAGTTTAAGTCATAAGTGAAGTTTAATAACATGAGATTCAGTTGTGTTATTATTGTACATGTTGTAAATAACATAAGAAAGTAAAAAGTTGTATTGAGTAACATTTTATTGATTTGTATACCTAAACATGTATATTCTACATAGTGAAGTAGTGACATCTATAATACTGTGAAAAGTTTAAATTGCAATAGCAAGCACATTAGGCAAATGTATGTGATGTATAACTTTTCTGTTTAAGGGGAAGATGTCATAATATATACTGTAAATCTATGTACAATATTGTCCCTTTAAGTCACGTGATCATAGCAGTGACGTCATTGGTCAGTTCTGAAATAAATTACAGTTGTAGTTGAAGCGTTGTCTTGTTCTCATAAGTTCTCCCAGAATACTCGGCAGTTAAGACACTGTGAGTGTGACTTCACACCAATCCACATCGGATTTAAGCTCAATAACAGACTTCCTACTATTCAGGACAATTAACCCGGCCGGGGCAATAACAACATTAAAAGGGTATATCGGACCCTCATCACATCAAATACAGTCTCTGAACTATTCAGGGAATCCAGACCCAGAATGCATGGATGTTGGATACAAGCAACATACATTGACTATAAGATATTAACCCCTACCCACAGATATTTGACACATCAACTTCCCCTGGGATGGGACATTGATTGCCACTGGTGACAGTTATGGCCAAAACTGCCTCGCTAAATGTGGGCTTTTAGACCACTCTCGATCTTGACCACCCTCGGTCTCGTTATATGCAAAGGCTATTCGCGATTACACTGACATTAGCCCCTATTTCGAACCAAACAGTGGAGAACACTGCCTAATCATATAGACAATACTACTTTAACTTATGGCAATAACACACCTGAATTTCGTATCATGGGCCCCTTGACTATTTACAAAGATCTCATGTGGGCTGGGATGAGATCTTACTTACAGGTATACTGTATACATTATATTTATTATCTAAAAAAGAGCACCTGAATAGTCAACTTATCGGGTCGGTCTGGTGTACGCACTGTGGTTTGGACATGTGCCATGTTCTGTTGGTGGAGAGACAACAGAACTAGTTATAATTGATGCCAATGGTATTGACATCATGGACTATAAGAGATTTGGATACAGTGTGTAATATATCACATCTCATGACTGATATTATTGGACACAGTCTGTGATGTACTTGGACTTAAAGGTAACATTAAAATGGGCATTCATTACCTCGTATGGGTATGCGCGTACCCAAGCTATCTCTTAAATGCTCATCATGCCCATCATGACAAACAAAAAGAGAAACTCACAAACAAGGTATAGACAGGGATAAAACATATCACTATAAATGTGTTACAAAGGCCTTTATGGGCATCGTTCAAGTATCGATGGTTTCACTGTATTAGAATAATATGGTATGCAAGGTGGGGAAAACATACCATAAGGGTGTATAATGGAGGTGGCCACTATAACAGGAAGTAGATTTAGGGAAAAACTACTTCATCAATCAAAAGGGACAGTCCCTATGGTAAGCTATGGGGACTGGGTGGTCTGTATAGTTTCATTGTAGGTAACTAAAAACGGACATAGAATCACAAAAATCGTGGGTCTTGATAGGGCGGGACCTATCAAAATTCCACCGCTGCCACCAGTGTAACATCCCCTCAAAATATACTTTGGTAGCGTGGTTAAAAGAGAGGGAGATGTTATTGGTTAAAATTATGAACTTTATTTTTAGTTAATTATGGGGGGTGTAAAACATCTGTCTTTACAATGAGTCTTATAAGAAATAAACTTTTATGTCAAAAGAAAGATGGCGTTCTGGTAAAAATCTCTACATTTTGATTATACTGGAAATTGCCTCATGAAAGGGGGGATAATATCATCTTAAAGAAATATAACACGACAAAAGTTTTAAATAAAGAAACATATTTACATGTGTATATTGTTTGGATATAAAACATAAAAAATGACAATAGTACAGTAATAATTAGTTATGAATATTCAAACTGTGTTCTGGGAGAAGTTTCTATATAAAGTGACTAACATGGACTAACAATGACTAGCACGAATTATAACAAGTGACTAACACGAGCTAACAAGTGACTAGCAAGTGACTAGAAAGTGACTAGCAAGTGACTAACACGAGCTACATGGTTGGAAATTTGCAATATGAATGCCGGAATTTCCAGAGACTGGGAAAGCTGGACTATGGGGTACTTTGGGAAGGGGAAATACATCTCTCTAATAGGATACATGGTCCTGGGACTAGAGGAGATGTAAAGGGGCTCCTGGGCAACTTTTGGGCCGAAGCATTATATACATTTCAAGGTAACTTTCATGTCAAATCTCGAAACAGAATGTCATAAAACATATATCAATTTGTTGATCATCATTTGATTAATACAAATATATATTTACCTAACACCAATAGAGTCGGAACACTGCAAAATCGATCGAAACGCAGGAGATATATCCATTAGCAGCCTTACAGTTGAAATCTAAACAGAACACAAACCAAACTTCTCAACTGAGGAAAACCTTACGCCGAATTAATAAACTAACCTAACAAATAAAAGTATTTCACACCTAACACAGATACCAAAATATGATTAACATAAATACGCTGAATACAGAAGTTGTGATTGAAGTAAATTGCTTATAATTAATGGTAATTACTGGATAAAATCCTGGGACTATATTCTGCACTATTTGTACCTTTAATATCAATACGCCATCACTGAAAAGTATTTATGTGGAGATAGGCATTCTTCTTATAGAGTGAATATCATCTGAATGCATATAAACATACAACTTATAAACAATTAAAGTCAAAATCTAATTAAATAAAGAGATAAATACAGTAACAGCACACCAAATAATAAGAGAAATTATGTTATAAGTATATATGAATTTGGTGGGTTGTTACAATTCTACATTTGATTAACATATATACAAGTTATTCGAAGCAAGATATTTTGAAGAATACAAGGGTAAATTTCACCCATTTTGTCAATAGTGAAACGCATCAAAATGGCAGGGTACCTGAAATACGACTAAATCAATGGTGTTGAATTTCTCGGCAATCATTTTTGGTATCCTGCACGTCCTTTCTACCTGACCATCGTGTGAATTAGGATATAGTCCTGAGTAAGGACATTAGCGGTTACCGTTAGTGATTTGGTTTTCTGAATAAAAAGTCATTTTCTCCTTCCCTACCCCATTGGAGCGCCATCTAGCGTTTGGGAAGTTGATCGGGAATAAATATTTATAGGGTAGGTCCTAATTTATCTGAAAACATGTCAGAGTTCAGTGGGAAATCTCATTTTAAGCTGGCGGCGGAGTGATTTTGACCTTGGTGATTTTACCAGAATTCTCTGAGAAATCTGACGATAGAGGGGGTTAGTGTCTTCAAGTTTATTTATTTCAAAAATTCGGTGGACAACCCATGGTAAGATTGTTATAGCAGGCTAGGCGAGTCTCTCCCGAACACTGTGGTATGTTGCACTAGGCTTGGATACTAATCGTTAATAAGTTACAGGGTAAAATGTTATAATGGCCACCTATGGGAAACTCTACTGTGATCTTCAACCTATTAGAAGGCGCTTTTTTGGGGCATTTTGAAGGTTTTATCCCTTTTTGAGGTTTTTTAGTTCATTGAGAAGCCTAATAGCGCATATCATATTAAAGGGCTGTATATTAGCTGAACAATGCTACCAAAATCGTGACATTTTGAAGCAATTTTGGTGTTTTGGGGGCGAGGCCGCTGTGCCAAGTAACCCGAATTCCATTCTCCCGTGCCATTCAATTGTTTGCGGGGCAGTTTTGAATGAACCTTTGTTTCTTCCTACCAATATGACGTCATAAGATGCAATTGAACGCCTTGGCATGGATATCACTTGAACTTTATTGTAGAAATCGCTTTCCAATGATACCCCATATGGCCATGTTCACCTCAGTTGGGTGTACTCAATCTGTGATGCAATCTGTAAGGTGTACCCCTACCCCAAAGAAATTTCAAGAAATCTCAGAATCAAATTTCCTGAATTTTGCTAAAAGGACCTGTGTCTATAAGGATTGAATTTTCCTCCGTGCTTTTTCTCAAATATAGGATTGTTATATACCATTGTGATCGGGATAATGCCTACAATGCTAATATAACCATGTTGGAAGAAAACAAACTAATTCAGTTTACTATTAGGATATAGTCCTGAGTAAGGACATTAGCGGTTACCGTTAGTGATTTGGTTTTCTGAATAAAAAGTCATTTTCTCCTTCCCTACCCCATTGGAGCGCCATCTAGCGTTTGGGAAGTTAATCGGGAATAAATATTTATAGGGTAGGTCCTAATTTATCTGAAAACATGTCAGAGTTCAGTGGGAAATCTCATTTTAAGCTGGCGGCGGAGTGATTTTGACCTTGGTGATTTTACCAGAATTCTCTGAGAAATCTGACGATAAAGGGGGTTAGTGTCTTCAAGTTTATTTATTTCAAAAATTCGGTGGACAACCCATGGTAAGATTGTTATAGCAGGCTAGGCGAGTCTCTCCCGAACACTGTGGTATGTTGCACTAGGCTTGGATACTAATCGTTAATAAGTTACAGGGTAAAATGTTATAATGGCCACCTATGGGAAACTCTACTGTGATCTTCAACCTTAGCAAAATCTCTCTCATTTATGTTATACGTCATAACGTTCAATGTGTTTACACCATCAGGAGTGAACGTGGAAGACGAAGGTATGGCGACACATTTATGTTTGTAGCCCGTGTCACAAAAACCAGTTCCGTCGTCGTCTTGTAGTCCGAAAATACTGCAATCGCTTCCCTCTACGCCTCCACATGGACGACGCGTCGGCTGCTCCGGGAGGAGAGGAGTATTTGGACCACCTGATGGAGTCGTAGCATTTGAATCACCATCTGCAAGCATTGATAAAGCAGGCCCGTAGCAAGGATTTGCCGAGGGGGGGGGGGGGGCATTTTTAAAGAAATTTCAGGGTGGTTTACTTTTGACATCTTTGGCCCAAAAATGGCCAAAATCACTCGAAAGGTGCTCAGAATGGTGAAAACTGCATGATTTTAAAATAATTTTTTGCCCCTCCTGGCTACGGGCCTGTTAAGCTTTAAAAATTCAAAATATATATGACATTCGAATTTTGTCTTCAGAGAGAAAAGTGAATCGGTTGAATATGTGAGTAGCCTCCATTGGATATTGTGTAAAAGTTTGTTTATGTTTGAACTTGGAGGGGAGTGTGTATTATGGATCTCTACTTACAGCATTGGCTCGGGTTTCTACCATGTTCAAAGTCGAGTGTCTCAATGGAAGGAAGATCACAGTCACACTGGCAGACGTCACACTGGAATAAATCGCTGAGCGGAACCTGTTGTCTCGAGCGACAATTTTTCATCTCTTTACAGCCGAATGTGTTGAACTGTTCATGGTAGATTGAACATGTGTCTATTGAAATCACACAAATCATTAGATTTATTTTTTTCTAGAAATAAACAAATCTGCTTTTTCTACTTTGAAGGCGGAGCCCGGTTGCAGAATGGGTTAGTACATGCATGGATGCTTTTAAGAATGATACAGAATTCTTAATGCAATTCAAACAGGACTAGTTTATGTTCTAAAAATAGGGGTGTTGAGTTACAATAATGATGCCCTGTGAGAACTATTTAGAATACTTTATTTAACAAAATGTTAGAGGGAAGTAATTATTGATTTGATCCAGAAGTCTTCAAGGGAATTATAAAAACCTAGTTGGAAAAACATAACATTTACCGGAATGACCATATTGATAACATAGACGTGTCGCAAAAAGGTCGCGCACGCATTGTTACACATTTTCGCTTTTTAACACCACAGAATGTGACGTTTTTTGAGAAAAATGTACACATATGGAAATCCTTTCGTCCTCCACATTTGCCGCTATATCTCAAAATATTAAGGGCGAATAACTCTGATATCGTATATGTATTAACAATGGGATAGGAGCATCACAAAACACGAATCAATTGATATTTTAGGTGAAATAAATATACGTGTTGCTGTGCTTGAAAATAGGCGAATGGTGTAAATTAGCCCTATTTTTATGAATTTTGAAAACCTTTCGTCCTCCACTTTTCCACATACAACATAAAACACATAATTTTGCGAACATAATCAACTATTTATTGATAAACTAGAGTTTAAGAGCAAAAAAGGTCGCTGTCAACAGATTATATTTTTCAAACTCTATGACGTCACAATATGGGACGCTTACTGAAATTCATCCTTTGAAACAAAACTCCCATCTACCTTTATCAAGAGGAAAAATAAGTATAATAGTCATTTATTGTTTGAGTTATGAGCGATTAAAGACGAAAAATAACTAGACATGTAAATTGAACAAGTTCAATTTAAGACTCCAGATTTAAAACTTTTTTTAAGCTGAGTCATCCAAAATACTGTAAGCTGAAAAATTCAGAATAAGCTGAGTCATCTAGAATACAGACATTTAGACAACTCTTAAGTAGCTTATCTTCGTCTACATTGGCTTAACATGGGGATATCATAATATCGACTTTTCGAGACTTCAAACAGCTATGACTATCTAACCAGAATTTGGGTCGAAATTTGGTTTGCAGATTCAAATTTCTGAGAAAATTCTACGTTTGTGTCATAACTCATACATTAAATTTTGAGAACTTTTTATGTTGACCTACTTTCCGGACGCCATTCCTCAAAATCGGTAAGAGTAATCAAAAAAGACAGTTACAATAATGAAAGGACTGTCTTTAAGCTACATGATGAAAAAAGAGAAAGGAATAACGACGAATAGTGACAAAGATAATTGACATAACATGGGATATCAAAATACCAATTTTTTAATTTTTCAAAACGCCATTTCTTCCAAACCGGGTGTCGGATTGAAATTTGATTTGCAGATTTGGATTCCTGAGAAAATTCTACCCTTAATTCATAACTCATACGTTAAATTTGGAGAAACTTTCATGTTGACCTACTTTTCGGACACTATATCTCAAAAGTGGGTCAAAATACTTTCTGACGGCAAAAGGCTAACACTATTAGCACACTCTTTGCTACCTGTATACAAAATTTTGAATCAAATATAATTAAAGTGTAGTGTCAGAATCGCAAAAATAAGTTAAAACTATAAATTTGACCTAGATTTTGACCTAGGCATTTTGGTGACCAAATTGTGAAGCTAGCTAGCTTTTGAGGTCCCTTTCTTTTATAGGCTTTCATTATGTGAAGCTGTACTCAGTCTTTATCTCGTATTTTACACTTCAAAAAAATCTTTTTTCCCATTGCCATAACATGGGGCACCAAATTTAGCGATTTTTGAGCTTTCAAAACAACATAACTTCCAAACCAAAAGTCGGATTGAAATTTGGTTTGCAGATTCAGATTCCTGAGAAAATTCTACCCTTAATTCATAACTCATACGTTAAATTTGGAGAACTTTTTAGTTTGACCTACTTTTCGGACACCATATCTCAAAAGTGGGTCAAAATACTTTCTGACGGCAAAAGGCTAACACTATTAGCACACTCTTGGCTACATGTATACAAAATTTGGAAGAATATAATTAATCTGTAGTGTCAGAATCGCAAAAATAAGGAAAAACTTTGAATTTGACCTAGATTTTGACCTAGGCATTTTGGTGTCCACATTTTTATGAAAAGAAGGTCTTGTGGTCCCTTTCTTTTATGGGCTTCCATTATGTTTAGCTGTGCTTAGTCTATATCTCGTATTTTACACTTCAAAAAAATATTTTTTCCCATTGAATTAACATGGGGCACCAAATTTAGCGATTTTTGAATTTTCAAAACGCCATAACTTCTGAACCGGAAGTCAGATCGAAATTTGGTTTTCAGATTCGGAATCCTGAGAAAATTTCCTATAAGACTGATATGCTGGACATTGGATTCGGAGAAAAAAATTTTGGACCTCGTTTTCGGACACTGATATCTCGAAATCGGTTTGAGATACCAAAAAACTAAATCGACCGTAGATTTTCTACTTTTTTATGAGGAACACAATGAAAAAAACCAGGATCAAAAATATTGAAGGACGACCGAGTTAATGGGAAAAAGTGACAAAGTACTGGATTTGACCTAGTTCTTGACCTTTGACCTAGATAAAAATTTGACCTAATTTCCCAGAAAGCCGGATACAGTCTTAAGTTAACCATGTAAGTTAGATTAAGTAAGCTGTTATAGTTGACGAGAAATTTGGTAAGGAGGAAGAAAAAAGAATAATAACTAGACATGTAAATTGAACAAGTTCAATTTAAGACTCCAGATTTAAAACTTTTTTTAAGCTGAGTCATCCAGTACTTGTAAGCTGAGTCATTCAGAATAAGCTGAGTCAGCTAGAATATAGACATTTAGACAACTTTTAAGAAGGCTATCTTCGACTCTATTGGCTTAACATGGGGATATCATCATATCGACTTTTCGAGACTTCAAACCGCTATAACTATCTAACCAGAAGTTAGATTGAAATTTGGTTTAAAGATTCTGATTTCTGAGAAAATTCTACCCTTAATTCATAACTCATACGTTAAATTTGGAGAATTTTTTATTTTGACCTACATTTCGGACACCATATCTCAAAAGTGGGTCAAAAAACTTTCTGACGGCAGAAGGCTAACACTATGAGCACACTCTTTGCTACCTGTATACAAAATTTTGAACCAAATCCTTAAAGTGTAATGTCAAAATCGCAAAAATAAGGAAAAACTATGAATTTGACCTAGATCTTGACCAAGGCATTTTTGCGTCCAAATTTTGAAGCTAGATAGCCTTCGAGGTCCCCTCCTTTTATAGGCTTTCAGAATATTAAGCTGTACTCAGTCTATATCTGGTATTTTACACTTCAAAAAATCCCTTTTCTCATTGACATAACATGGGGCACCAAATTTAGCGATTTTTGAGCTTTCAAAACGCCATAACTTTCAAACCGGAAGTCGGATCGAAATTTGGTTTGCAGATCCGGATTCCTGACAAAATTCTACCCCTAATTCATAACTCATACGTTAAATTTGGAATTTTTTTTATTTTGACCTACTTTTTGGACACGCCATAACTTCCGAACCGGAAGTCGGATTGAAATTTGGTTTGCAGATTCAGATTCCTGAGAAAATTCTACCTTTAATTCATAACTCGCACGTTGAATCTGGAGAACTTTTTATTTTGACCTACTTTTCGGACACCATATCTCAAAAGTGGGTCAAAATACTTTCTGACGGCAAAAGGCTAACACTATTAGCACACTCTTTGCTACCTGTATACAAAATTTTGAAGTAAATTATTAAAGTGTAGTGTCAGAATCGTAAAAATAAGGAAAAACTATGAATTTGACCTAGATTTTGACCTAGGCATTTTGGTGTCCAAATTTTGAAGATATGTAGCTTTTGAGGTCCCCTTCTTTTATAAGCATTCATTATGTTAAGCTGTACTCAGTCAATATCCTGTATTTTACAGTTCGAAAAAGTCTTTTTTCCCATTGACTTAACATAGGCACCAAATTTAGCGATTTTTGAGCTTTCAAAACGCCATAACTTCTGAACCGGAAGTCCGATCCAAATTTGGTTTGCAGATTCGGATTCCTGAGATCATTCTACACTTATTGCATAACTCATATGTTGAATTTGGAGAGTTTTTTGTTCTGACCTACTTTTCGGACGCAATATCTCAAAATCGGTAAGAGTAATCAAAAAACGATTTGCCATATGGAATTAGCGTTTTTTCCAAGGAACATGATGAAAAAAACCCGGATCAAAAATATTGAAAGACGACTGAGAAAAGTGGTGAATTAGTGAAAATCCAAGATTTGACCTAGTTCTTGACCTATGACCTAGATAGAAATTTGACCTAATTTCCCAGAAAGCCGGATACAGTTCTTAGTTAACCATGTTAGTTGGATTAAGTAAGCTGTTATAGTTGACGAGAAATTTGGTGAGGAGGAAGAATAATAACTAGACATGTAAATTGAACAAGTTCAATTTAAGACTCCAGATTTAAAACTTTTTTTAAGCTGAGTCATCCAAAATACTGTAAGCTGAGCCATTCAGAATAAGCTGAGTCATCTAGAATACAGACATTTAGACAACTCTTAAGTAAGTTATCTTCGTCTCCATTGGCTTAACATGGGGATATCATAATATCGACTTTTCGAGACTTCAAACAACTATAACTATCTAACCAGAATTTGGGTCGAAATTTGGTTTGCAGATTCGAATTTCTGAGAAAATTCTACGTTTGTGTCATAACTCATACATTAAATTTTGAGAACTTTTTGTGTTGACCTACTTTCCGGACGCCATTCCTCAAAATCGGTAAGAGTA